AAAAAAAAAAAACAGAAACAAAAACAAAGTTAAAAGGGCTGGGGATGTAGTTCAGTGGTGGAGTGCTTGCCTAGCATGTGTGAAGCGCTAGCATACTCTCCAGTATCACACACATGATTATATATGTAGAGAGAGACAGACAGACAGACTATCACAGAGGTGATAGAAAATAATTCTAAAATCACAGAAAGTTCCCTAGTGCCCTTTCTCATCCCATTGCTCCACCCCAAAATCCTTTTCTGGTTGCTCTCCCTGCAGATTAGTTTCACTTGTTCTTTTGCGGGACCGAGGATCAAACTCATGCACTTATGCCACTGAACTATATCCCCAGCCCCAGTTTCTCTTGTTCTTGAACTTAATATAAATGGAATCCTGTAGTGCGTGCTATTTTGTGTCTAGTTTCTCGCAAAGACCTCCTTCATGCTTTTTAAGTGGCTACATAGTGTCTTTTAGTGTTGCTCTTCTAGAACACATTTTACCATAGTTGTACCCGTAGTGGGATACAGATAGGAAAGTGTTGCACTCCAGTTTCTGCAATAGGGACTCCTAGAAATGGGATCTCTGGGTAAAATTGCCACAGCTCAGGCTGTCTTTTTAACCAGTCACACATAAGAACATGCTAGAGAAGAGCCCTGGGCCACTAGCAAAACCGATTTTAGACAAGGTGAGAACTGTGCTTGGAGTTCACGCTCTAGCTGTGTTCCCCGGGATGGGCAGGGCCTGTGACATCTTCCTCTCACCCCCTGTGGGCTCCTTAGTCAGGGTTGTCTGTGGTTCAGCCTCCTCAGCATCCCAGGAGCTGCTTGTGTTCTGTTCCTGAGACCCAGCCCTGGGGCTGGGTGTCAGACTCCGGTCGGGTGGCCAGCGGGTGTCAGACTCCCGCCGGGTGTGCACCAGGAGCAGGCAGCCAGGGCTCATGCGGGCATTCATTAGCATCTTGTTGGGTGCGGGGCCTCAGGGCACTGAAATCTGCTCCGTGTCCCAGCATGCCCATAACCTGCCATTTAACACCACCAGCTCCAGATAATTGTGGTGGCCCTGCTTCCTTACTAATGAGGCCATGCTTTGTTAAAGCAAAGAAAAGCCCAGGTCTCAAGGGGCAGATGTCTCAGCCTCAGACTTAAGGCCGGTGGCTTTTACCCCAGCCATGCCCTAGCATCTGAGCAGCAAAATATCCACCTTCCCTCTGCTGATGAGTCCCCTTCACCCCCAGCAGCCTCCTCCAGACAGGTTTCCTCATTGTTCCTTTCAGATGGAAGCTCTGCCTTGCATTGTTTCAGCTCATAATAGATCAGCCTTTCACCTCCTCAATTCTGCACATTATGCTCCTAGTAATGCAGACCCAGATTCCATTAGTCCAGTTGTTTTCAACCGTGGCTGCCCATTAGAATCACTTAGGGAATTTTTAATAACTGGTGCCTGGGCTCCCTCCCTAGAAGTTCTAATGCAATTGTTTGAGATCATTGCTGAATATTTGATGTGCATACTCCAGGGGTTCTAGTCTGGCTTGCAAGTTAATGCAAAATAGATTTCAGAGAGAAGACTTGGAGCTGAGGCACCTGAGAGCAGTGAGCTATTTTCAGTGATCACTGGCATCAGCACTGAAAGACTTGTTTTCTAATTAAGGGAAGCACAGAAACTACAGAAGCCAAAAGGCTGAGGGAAGTGACCAAGTTTAGTGTGCGCCCGGCAGGGTGCAGGGGTTCAGGGGAGAGCAGGAGCCCCAAGCTCCCAACATCAGTCAGGAAACGGGGGAGAGAGGAAGAAAGGGGTGGCCCCCATGGGTGATGGGTAGGCTGTTTCTGGCTGTTGCAGAGGAATAGGGCTCCCACCTTCCCCTTAGGTCCCCTCTCTTTCCTTCCTCTGCCCCTCTGCTCCCTCTGTGTATGTCTCTGTCACCCCCAGGCCTCCAGATGTGCAGTCACGTGGCAGCTTCTGGCTGCTTCCTCCCTCCAGCACTGCGAGCTCCATAGAGGGAAGGACCATCTGTCTGCTCCTTCGCTGTCAGTCTGTGCCTGTGCCAGCCTCAGCAGAAACGGCCCCCTCTCTCACACCGCCCCCAGCCCGCCCCAGGTGTGGCCCCTCCCCGGGGCATCCTGGGGTCTTGGTATACTGCAGATATGCAGTATCCAGGGAAACCATGGGCAGCATCCCTCCCTTCATGTCCTCCCTCACCCCTAACTACCTGCCTTGTCTGACCCCCAGTTCTGCTCAGTCTCAGGATGCACCCACCTGACTCTGCCTACCCAACCGCATGAGGCACAGGCCATTGTCCCTGGGTCTCTTGCATTTCAGTCGTGCCTCCTGAAAAAGTTCCAGCACAGTGTAAGCGCCCCTTCACTGAGGTGAAGGAAAGGGGCCCTCCCAGCTCCCTGAACAGCCTGCCAGCCACTGCACTGACGTTTTGCTGTATTTGCTAAGATAATTGAGTGTAATTTGCTGCTAATGAATGGGTGCACTTCTTGTTCCCATTGCTTTTGTAATTGCACTGAGGTCCATGTGCTCGCTGATGGCAGCCTCAGCCAACATTCTGGGCACTGGAGCTGGCCAGGGTACAGAGGTGGCTCAGCC